GCACACACACACACTTTCCCACCGCTGTGCACACACACACATACACACACACACACACACACATGTGCACATACAAAACACTGTCATGCCCCTGTTTTCAAAAGTGGGCAACTCAAAGCAGAGCAGGCCGTGTGGAGGAGCCGGTCCCAGCTCTGTGTGCGCTGTGAGGCCCAGGCTTCATGGCACACTTGAGTGCAATTTTGGGTTCTGTACATAAAGTGCGGTTTGGTTCTGTTCTGCAGACACGGCCTGGAACAAAAGAGGTGCCTCACACTGTATGGCGCTCATGTGCAGGCTGAACATACTTGCAGTACAGTGTTGTCTACTCACGCCGGCATTAGTGTGATGAATTCAAACTGATTAAAGAAAATGTTATTGCTTGAAACTCTCGAGTGATGTGGTGAATCTTTCACTCCGAGCACATAAACTGGTAATAAACTGGTAATAAGACTGAAGATTTACACTCGTCTTGGCCCGACCTTCCACAGTGATGTTTCAGGATGTTTTAATACGACGTTGTTGAAGATGTGCAACTGTTTCAAGTTTCCAGCGATGATACAATTGCAGTTGATCTTAAAGTTTATTTTAGTCAGACTTTTGACATTAACACGGTGGGAAATCGCTTTGATTCATCACAAAGCTTTTTGTGATGCCTTAAAAAAGCTCTTTTGTTAAGACGAGTCTCCTCGGTGAAGTTTCCATGCCTGAATATTCCTGCGCTCCGTGGGAGGCGAGGGTATGGCCTGTGGTTCTTCAGAGTCATTCAATCAGAATGAAACGTAAAAAAAATAATGTATGAATCAAGATGCATTCTTTAGGAGCTACGAGTGTATATGAGTAGTTCACAGGAAAATGAGGAAAGAACAGCATCAGTCAAAGTGCAGCAGGCGACGACCAGAGCAGCAGCCATATTGTTTTCAGGTTCTCCGTACGTACGTCCCATTGTCATGGACATGATATCTCAGTAACACCTTGACAGAGCTTCTTCAAATTTACCACAAACACTCGCTAGGACTCGAAGATGAACTGATAAGATTTTGGTCATCAAAGGTCAAAGGTCAAGGGCATGGTGATCTCACAAAAATGTGGTTTTGGCCTTGTAAACACGGTATCTGAGTAACGCCACAAACATTCGCTAAGACTCGAGGATGAACTGATAAGATTTTGGGACTTCACACAGCAATTATGCCAAAATTCCTCACAAACGGTTCATATTTTATATGACTCTGAATAAACAGGGGTGTGACCTGAAACCGGTCTGAGTGGAGGAGGCATACAACAAGGAGGTGATTCTACTTTTCATCAGTCCTGCAATCTGAGGTACACCAGGCTGCACGCTCTGCAACGTCATCAATGTTCAACTTTATTTAGTCCAGTAGATCTGTTAATATTAAATGAGCTGCTTGTTTTCTTTACAAGTAGATTCTCTACATTTTTTGGCGTTAACTAACCGTTGGATGTTTTGAATTGAAGCACAAGCAGCTCCACTTTGCCACGGTGCAACATTACAGTTTGCTGTTGTGAAAATAACTGATCAAGATTAGGGTGTTAGCACTTTGAGCAGTAGCTGGCTCTGTATGCTGCAGCACAGCGTTCTCGTGAATGTGCATGTGTCAGTGAATGCACCACACATACACAAGCATGTCCGTTGCTTCTTTGGAAGACTGGGGTGCCTGCCAGCAGGCCTCAACAGCATCCACTGCCAATTAGTCCTTTTTATTTGTTTAAATTTTGCTGGACCAAGACTCAGCAGTTAGACATTCCACTCGGCTGCTCCTTGAAGCTGCAGAGGATGTTTCTGATTGAGGTTCAGTCACTGCTCCCACTGTACTCCACTGCAAAGCATTTCTGCAGACACGTTGTTGGAAGATCCCGAACAATCGTGATCAGACATTCAAGGCTGAAGATACGCACGCTGAAACAGAATGGCGTGACATTTTGTTGTGTGTGTGTGTTTCTTTTTTTTTTTTTTGTTTCTTGTAATGTGTAGCCTCTTTGTTTAGGTTAACTAGTTTTGTGTGGGCTATAACTACAGCCACAGCGTCAGGTGCTGTGCTGATTTTTCTGCCAAAGGCTCCTGTTGATTATTTATCCACATTTTTATTTAGGCTTTAATTGATTTGGACGTTTTTAGGTGCATTCACTCTGGCGTAGTGAATGAGCCTATTGATGGAGCATGGCAGGCCTGCTACCTCCAGAAATGAGTGTGGGGCTGTGGGTCAGTGCTTTGGCATGGCGAATAACAGCCTCAGCAATAGAAGCTTTGTCTCTATCTCTGCTGGCAACGCAGCGCTGCCTCAGACCCTGTTCCACCAGCGCCCCCAGGGACAGCAAGGACTAATCTGCCTCCCTCAAAGCCTCCCAACACATGGGCGGCTGCAGGCCTATAATTCTGTACAGTCAAGAGGTGTGGACCTTTTTGTTTTAGAAGCTGGGAAACAATCTAACCGCACTGTTGTCCTGTAGCTGGGTGAGTCGTCAAGTAGGGCGGTGAAAAAAAAAAGCTATGTATCCCCCGTGGCCTGGTGGTTCATCGCCAATGACTTTCATTCAGTGTTTATTAAGGAAGAAAACAAATGACAAACAAAAGGAAATAACACAAAATCAAATCAAAACAAAAGACATTCCATGATACTCAGACATTTTTCCTACAGTCTGCAACGCCAGTGGTTCCACATTCTGACGTGATGGAGACTGAAATAATACCGTTTGCAGATTCCGTAGATGTCCATCATCTGATCATCTGGTCATTGGTTACGTAACGTCTGAAATATTTAATCTCTTTACATCATTCAGGGAAATACTACTACTACTACTTTTCTGACTTATTTGATGTCGAAATCTAGACCATACTGTGAACAGACCCTCCGTGACTGTTGAAGACCGGCGCTACATGGCGAGAAAATCACCAAATCATCTGCAAACATGACGTGGTTAACGAGAGAACTACCAGCCGTGCATCCTGTTCTACATCCACTCGCTCGCCGATGGGGTGGGAGGCAGGCGATGACTTCAACAGTGATTGTTGTGTTTATATTTCACATCAGCAAGAAAACAATGAAATACAAAATACAGTTGCAGTGATGACGGTGATGAGCTCGACCTCGCAGTGGGGATCACATGACCGCGGTTACGCCGCTATCGTCACAGCTCTACCACCAAGTAGGGCATTTCCTTTTCCCACAGCAGCAGTCGAGCTGCCCCGACTGGAGCCCGAGTGACGGCCGCGCTGATGACGTCGCAGCGTTTTGGCTTTTCAATGAAACAGGTCGAAGTAAACTAATAATGTTCTAGGCTCCAGAAGTGGCGGCGCTGTGTGAGGCTTGACTTTCTGTACACTTTATTTGGTTCATCTGTTGGAGGAGATGGAAAATGTTTCACTGGAAGGCAGAAAGATTTGCTCTAAACATGTAATCCGAGAGTATGACAATGTTTTCCTCTGGTTTGCATTTAGAGGATCTCCATGCTGTGTTTCGTGCTTCTTCTTTTGACACACGCAAAATGAATTCCTCAGACCCAGTGGCATAATTGCAAAACTTTTTTTTATTTATTTCCTTGTATTGCAAAAGACTTTAGGAAATCAGTTTTCAAGTTTTACTATCCAGATATTCACACATAGGGAACTCTCTCAGAAATAAATATTTGGAGAAACTATTACGCTTTCATGACAGATAGTTTAATCTTTTTATTAAAAGTGTGATTGCATCCACCTCAGTGACTCAGACATGAACTGCATCTCATCAGATTCGGAGCTCGGGTCTCTCTCTCTCCCCTCGTTGCAGCCGGTGCTCTACTATTGAAAGTAGCCAAACGGCTCCTCCTCCTGTTATCAGCTACAGACGGATGTTTATGATTTATGGTTTTTCAGTTACGACATTAAACATCCTCATAGCCCAGATAAGACAGAGGCACAGCTGTCCAGATACACACTCTGTGTCTTTCTCGGTGCACATAAACGGCCCGGGTGTGATCTGAAGCACACTCTTGACTTTTCCTCATCATCAAATAAGTGTAGTCAAGTGTTTATGCATTTAGCTCTGGATTCTTTCAGACTTCATTTTCTCTGAAGTGCAAAGATTGCTGTCAAGAGACTTCTCTCCTGTTCTGCATTACACTGTATTGATCGGCACAGAGCAGAGCAAGGTGTCCCAATCAGAGGTCGACCAATGGTGGAGTTATAAAGTCCAACGATCGCATATAGCCAATTAATCAACTGATATCGCTATTAGCCAATAGTTAGCTGTACTAATTACTTTTAATTAGTAATTGTATGTATTCAATATCTGTTAAAACCTACATGACTGATGAAAGTTGCAGTTGAATGAATGTCGTCATCACAGAAACTCTTGTCAGTAACAGCAGTTAGTGAGCGTTCACGTGCTGCAGTCAGAGTTCCTCAGATTTTTTTGTGTGTGTGAGACAATCAGGGGGCAAAAAACAGAATATAGCTCTGCAGAAATAAAGAAGTTATTCTTGGAGCTCAACTGTTCTGCAGAGCTATGAAACGTTCCTCGTCCAGGCCGGACTACAGCTTGGCCGCTCCTCTCCTTAATGAGCAAATGTTGATGTTAGGATCGGTTGGAAAAGCTGGTTTTCTCAGTGGTCAGTCAGAGTGGGGGTTTCTCCCTCTGCGGCTCTTTTATTAAGAGGAGGAGGAGGGCGTCTGAAATGAATGAATCTCTCAAATTTAGTTTTGAAATCTCCCACGCATTACAAAACAGACGACCTCAATTGCCCGATGGTCTTGTAAAGGGGAGTTACAGTAGACTTGGACGTTACAAAACACAGAATCCAGCTGATATGAGTGTGTGAATCCTCCCCGCTGAAGAACCGTTGGCTTCTGTGTGAATATTTATGGAGAGAACTTTTGTTTTTCTTATCAGATGTTTTCTTGTCTTTGTTTAATTTCAGAAGATGTTCAAGATGAAGGCGACTTGCTGCCACAACTGACGCCCCAGTGCACTGAACAGAACAAGCAGTCCTGACCTGGCAACATACGAATGGCCCAGGGAAGCCACCAGATTGACACTCAGGTTTTGCATGACCTGCGCCAGAAGTTCCCTGAAGTCCCAGAGGGTGTTGTCTCCCAGTGTGTTCTGCAGGTAAAGCGGGTTCAAAACCTCCAATCCCAGCAAAACCGGCACTGTATTCACAAAGTATCTTAGAACCAGGTAGTCCTAAAAAAGTTTCCTCTCATTTTACACCGTGTATAAGCCATTTTTTTTTGACTCCTTTTACACTTCCAGCTCAGTTTGTCCTTCTGAGAGAACACACTCTCTCTCGTAAGTGTAGGAGTCTCTGTGTGAGACGCTTCAGTTGGTGATTGTGTGTTTTTGAAACTTATTTGGAGGCTGCAGCTTCACTCTTTCACACCGGTGAGTGCAGTGTAGCTGCAGCAGGTGACTGGTGTGTTCACAGTGGTTCACAGGTTGAACATTAACTGAAGCTCCTGACTTGTATCTGCAGAATTTTATGAATTTTTATGAACTGTTGCCACGCGGTTGGCTGATAGCACGAATAACCAGGTGTACAGGTGTGAGTGGAGGGTCCTCTTTGTGAATTCCTCTTTGAGCAACAACTAAGGAGTCTCTCTTTAGGAGCATTAGGATGTTTTGGTGACTTCACAGTAGAGCTGATAAATAACAAGAAATTACAGTAATGTTGAAGATATGTTTACAGTGAATGATGTGGAAACAGTTTCAGTTTAAAGGCTGTTTCTCACGCTCACTAAATATCTTGAATCACAGTTGTTGAATAACCAAATTGTGTGTGTGTGTGTGTGTGTGTGTGTGTGTGTGTGTGTGTGTGTGTGTGTGTGTGTGTGTCCTCAGTTAGACACTGTTAGGAGTTGTAAAATTACAATATAACATACTAATTAACAATATGGTATAAAAAACATTCAATTCTCATGTGGAACAATAGACAGATAGATAGATAGATAGATAGATAGATGGATAGATACTTTATTAATGTTGGATAATAACTTTATTTCCTCTCTCTCTCTCTTTCCTCCAGAACAACAACAACTTAGACGCCTGCTGTGAATACCTGTCCCAGGTCAGTCCGGGCTACCTGTACAGCGAAGAAGGAAGCTTTTCCGACGACCCCAGCTTCACCAGGCTCCGTAATCACATGACCCAGTTGAACCTGGGCCTGCAGTCTCAGAATGTGCATGCGGCCCCGGTTCGGGACGGCCTGAGAATGAACGGCAGCCGGACTCTGGCCCACAGCCTGAGTGACGGGCCCCTCCAGACGAGCCAGGCCCCCAATAGTGACTTCTTTCAGCAGGAGCCTCAGTCAGCCCCAGTGCAGGTGCCGTCCAGCCTCAATGTATTCGGTGTGATGGAACCCACGCGCAAACCGCAGCCTCCACAGCACCTTGGACTTTACCCTCTGGGTGTCAAAGGGACGACTATGGGCGCCCAGCAGACGCCGCGCTTCAACCCCATTACAGTGACGCTGGGCCCCAATATCCAGACGGGCCGCAACACCCCCACTTCTTTGCACATACACGGCGGGCCACAGTCGGGCCTAAGCAGTCCACAGGGTAACTCTATCTACATCAGGCCCTACGTTAGCCAGCCCGGTACGACCCGGCAGAACCAGCAGCAGGGAAGCAGGGCCCAGTACAGCCCCACCTCCCAGCCCCAGCAGCAGATCTACCAGATCTCCCACCCCTCCTCCCTGTCCGGCTCCTGGTCCGGCCCTCAGCACGCCTCCTCTTCACATACCTCACAGCACCAGACCCAGGGCCACCAGACCTCTCATGTCTACATGCCAATCAGCTCCCCGACAAACCCCCAGGCGCCCTCCATCCTTCCCTCTGGGAGCCAGGCCTCTTCCTCCGGCGTCTCCTCGTGCTCTTCTTCCTCCTCCTCCTCTTCTGTCATGCCCACCTCCTCTACCATCAGCCAGTACAACATCCAGAACATCTCCACTGGCCCACGGAAGAATCAGATAGAGATCAAACTTGAATCTCCTCAGAGGAGCAACTCCACAACCACAACAGCTGTGCTGCGGACAAGTAGTGGCCCCCGTACGTCCTCGACCTCCTCCTCCTGTCCTTCCTCTTCCTCCTCCTCAACCGGGGTGGCTACTGTCCCCACCACCCCTCTGTCCATTGGATGCCCTGGTCTGAGCCGCAGCCAGCCCACTGTTTACATCTCTGCCAGCCCGCCTACTGCTGCTACCACCCCCTCTGAGGAGGCCATCGTGGCCTCAGCCGGCTCCCGCGCCCAACCCAAGTTTTACATTTCTGCCAATGCCTCCAGCGACGATGGTGGGAGTAGGAACCCTCCCACAGTCTACATCTCAGCCAACCCTCCTTTGCAGGGCCCTTCAGGGCCCAGGAACATGGGAGGCCAAGTGAGCATGGGCCCTGCCTACATCCACCACCATCCACCTAAGTCTCGTACCTCCGTGGGAGGGGGAGGCACAGCTTCTTCCCCTCGCGTGGTGGTGACTCAGCCCAACACCAAATACACTTTTAAAATCACCGTGTCCCCCAATAAGCCCCCAGCTGTGTCCCCCGGAGTAGTCTCGCCTACTTTTGAGCCCAACAAACTCCTAAGCCTACCCTCAGACCACCACTTTGTGGAGCCAGACCCCCTCCATCTCTCAGACCCGCTGTCGCCACACAGGGAGAGGCCGAGCGAGCCTCGCAGACTCAGCATGAGCTCTGACGATGCAGCGTACACACAAGGTGAGCGATCCTGAGTGTCATCACTGTGATTGTAATCTCAGCCTTTATTCCCCAGTGAAACCGTCACCAAAAGACTTTGACGGAAGACTAAACACAGATAAAGTATTTAGGTTCGTACTCAGTAGACCGTATTCACACAGCGGCCATTTTCCTCTGACATCACGCTGAGGCTTTGAACACTTTGATATCTGTGAATAAATCCTGTGCGACATTGACCGCATTGATAAATGTGTTCCAGATGTTGAAGGTAGAGACAGGCCAACACTGGAAACACTGTAAGCTAATGCTAAAGGCTAGCAAACGTGAATTTTGCAATTAACGTGTGTCAACGTTGGCGCTACTAAAGCTTCTGCAAACGTTTAACATTAGCTAATGTTTAATGGTTTCATAATTAACCTGCATCAGTGATACAGTAATATGACAGCAGAGCAAGTGCATCAGTGCTAACTTAGCGGCGCAGCTAACGTTACATCGCAAGCTTGATTACGTCCACCGCATTTCCAAGATCTGCGTTGATGTTTCAGAATTAATCATGTAGCGCTGTCAAACGTAAATGTTAGCTCAGAAGTGGTTGAATGCTAACGTTAGCTGTTGTCTAATGGGCGCTAGTGGGTTTTTCCAAATATGTTCTTTCACGTTGAAATATGAGTCGATGTCTCTTCGGATTTTTATTGTCTATTGTCTTTTCTGTTGCTCATCGATCGTGGGTCATCAGATGGAAACGATTGGTCAGAATTTCTTTGTTTATACGACTTGTAACGTCGAACACGGCGGCACAACAGCTTCCCACCCCGAGCGCGACGTCACAGGAAAATAGCCACCGTGTGAATATGACATCCCTTTAAACCCTTTTTCTTTTTTTTCTTTTTTTTTTTTTATATACAGTGTCCATTTTCCCTTTTCATTGTGTTTACAGTGCTTGACACTGTAGTGTTGTTGGCTGGTGTCTTGTGGCGATTTTCACAGATAAGCTCTTATGCCCACAGGCTTGTGAACACATACTTTAGATAACGAGTCAGCGCCCACAGCTCGGAGTAAGCAGACAAAAATGTCCAAAAAAATTGTCTGCTCTGTGAATCCTCCATCCAGTAGGCCTCCAGTGTCTTGTTGGAGGTGTTTGCTTCACCCTTTTTATTGGTTGTTTAGTAAATGTCAAGTGGCTAAAAGAGTGCACTTCCTCTATAGCCATATTGTGCACAGTGAAGTTTTTAGAACTATTTTAGCAATAAATCATACTGCACAGGTTTTCTGCTACCAGCTGTAGGCCTAAATGCTTTTTCCACTGCATTCTGCCAAGAAAGTAATTTTACTATAAAAGTATACTGTGTGGTTTTAAAAGACACTCACCATAACATCGCCTGTAATGTAATTCTGGAGCCAAACTGTGTATACTTGCTGTCTCTAATGTTCAGTCGGGGTGGAAATACTGCTTTGCAAGTCCGTCTTCATGGGGTAGATAAAAGCAAAGGTGACTAGCTGTGTGATGACGGTGGTGTGAGTCCTCCGCACTAAATGCTGTGTTTGCTCCATTAGCCCCTGAGACTGGTGGATTCTGTAGCGTGAGTCAAACGTGTCAGCGCGCACTGCTGTTTCCTTTTTTGGGCTTTTGATTGTATTACATGTGAGTCACCGGCTGTGGCTCCCGCTCTGCAGTGACTACAACCAAGAGGGGCTTCACACTGGGCACGCTGCCTCTGCTGCTGACCCTCATGAACCCGCTTTCCCCCCTTATTTCGTCTGCCGTGGCTTCAGCGAGTCACATTCACAGCTGTACCTGATGTCTCCACATAACTGTTCAAACTCAACATTAACCAATCAGCTCTTCCTGTTTGGCAGCAGAATAACATTATTATTGTTTTTATTGAATACCTTTGACTTAATAGAAGCATAAAACTCTGTGTAGATTCATGATTAAAACTACGTGACGCATAAAACAAGAACTATTTATACACATCCTTTTCCACAGAATTATATATCGTGGTTCTGCTTTATAAATCTCACTCATTAAGAAATTGGGCGGCATGTGCACGAGCCTCATTTCCACTCCCACGATTAGTCATAAAATGGAGGAAAACTTTCCCTTAATCCATCAGTTTGTCTCCACCACAAGTGATCAGACACAGAGAAGAAAGACGAGGAACAAGAACAATTTCACTGATTGTGAAACTGAGGTAAAAACCTGCGTCAGTTTACTTTAGTGCAATCACTCTAATGTAAAGTCCTGTTTCACTCTGAGCTTCATTTATTGGGAGTAGAGAGTCTTAACGAGGCTCCAACACTCTGATTATTAATATTAAAATAGTTTCAAACAGTCACAGAATGAGTCGCAGTAAATAATCAGGATATTAAACGATGCTGAAGGAAACATTGACACACAAACAGTTATTTCTGTTTATGAATTGTAAAATTGTTATTGCTGTGTAAACTGCAAATCTTATAATGTACGTTGGGTATTTTTATTTTATGTTAAATTACTTATTTTGTATTTTTCAATTCACTGTAACTTGGATCTCTTAGGGAAAGCGTGTGCTCGCCATGGTCAGAGAGAATGAGTGAGGTGACACAGTGTGTGTGTTTACAAAGTACCAGTTCGTGTGCGGGAAACGGCGTGCGCACGGTTTATGCATCCGACCGCAGGTTCCAAAAGACAGAACCTTTCTGATTCTGCAAGCATTCCTGCTGGAGACTGGTTTTTCTTTTTTTGTTTTTTTTTGATTGCATTGTTTTAGTTTGTTACTCAAACAGGAAGCAGATTGTCTACTCTGCAGCTGGTTACTTGGTTGCAAAAAAAAAAAAATAATAATAATACGAAGGAGTAACAGCAATGACAAAAAGTAAGACCTGGAGATTTCTTAGAAAATGCAGAATTTACCTCCACAACACCACCGGTAGTCGAGGCTGATGCCGTTTGTTCTCTTGCAGAAAAAGGGTCACGTGAAAGGAGCGTGACTAATCAGGCAAGAATACGTCATGTGCCGATGAGACCCAAATAGGGAACGACCGTGGGTGTCTGCGTCATCTTTTCCAAAAAAAAAAAAATCTCAGTTTCTGCCCGTCCAGACTAAAACACCACCCTGGAGTTTTCAAAGTGAAAACGGGGTCCAGCAGCGTTTCCCAAAGTCTCTGTTTCAGTGGCTGGAGGCTCCGGAGGCGTGTGGAGTAAACGTAGCAAAAGAGATGTTTTAAAACTAAAATGTTAATGCGGATTACCAGATGATTCAGTGAACCTTTTGGATAGTAATTTGACTTCATTGTCTCCCTGGTTCCTGAATGTAAAGAACAATTAAAACTAGAATGGCCCTCAGTGTTGAGGAAGGTGATGAGAAAAGTTCCTGCATCTGCGCCAAAGAGGTCGAGCGAGTCGGTGGTTTGATTCCTCCTCCAGTCCGCATGTCGAAGGGTCCTCGGGCAAGAGACTGAACCCAAGTAACCCCTGATTTGTAGAGTGTGTGTGTGAGTGACGTGTGCAGTCCATCTTTTTTACCATTTCTGTAACTGTAAGGAGAAATAATCTTTACTTAATGTTTTCATGTCGACATCTGAGTGAAGAAGATACAGGATGAGTCGAGAGCTGATCGCGAAGACGATGAGAAACGGTCCTGATTAGAAAATTAAAATGCACATTTGCTTTCATCATAGCTGAAGAGAAATCACTGTGAGGCTTGTTGAGGCGTTACAACCCCTCAACAAACACTGGAACTGTGATGAATTATGGGGAAACGTCTGCATGGTTCAGGCTGTGCATTAAACACTGTGTTCTGCAGCAGTTCGCTAACTGGGATAAGTCTGATCTCTTCATCTGACCACAGGAGGTGATGAAACACACTGATAGAGAACAATGAGGAAACTGTGTGATTCCCCTGTCTCTTCTTACACCAAGTTGTTTTGCTCAGGGAATTATGGTCAGAACTGGTTTGACTGGTGTTTGGTGTTCACAGTTTTCCTTGAAGGGATTTTCATCAGTAGTTTTTCTTTTGTTCCCCACTTTCATCTACATTCTTCGGTTACAGGGAGTTTCTCAATATGATAATAATAATATCAGTAACGATTAACAATTTTTATTCGTTTCCTTTTTCCTCCTTTTATGGTGTCTCGTGTCAAGGAGTCGCTAACATCGCTGTCTGTGTGCTTCTTCCAGCGTTGTTGGTCCATCAGAAGGCCCGCATGGAGAGGCTGTGGCACGAGTTGGAGCTGAAGAAGAAGAAGCTGGAGAAGCTAAAAGAGGAGGTTAACGAGATGGAGAACGACCTGACCAGGAGACGGCTGGAGAGATCCAACTCTGCCTCCCAAATTCCTTCTGTACGCACATCACATCACATCACATCAGCGATTTCTTTGTCTGTTGTGAATTTATTTTGCTGTGGAGGTGGCAGTTATACGGAAGTCCAATTCTCATTTTTCAAATTGTGAACAGTTAACTCAGTAACTGTTCTTCGTAGCTGAAGAGAAAGATGTTTTTATGTTTAATACTGAGAGATAAAACGGAATCTGGGTCACGTTGCCACTCTCGGTTTCTGCTCCTACACCCTGAAACTATGTTGATTACAGGGTCTGTTTATTATTTGGCTGATACCGCTCCATATTTTCAGACTGACAGAGCACGTAATCTGCATTCACATTCATCCTGCTGCAGCTCCTGCAGCTGCTTCAGACCCCAGCGATGGAGGGAGAGTTCAACAGAACACGAATCGAACGTGTATTTTGTTTTTATTTTCATGTTAAGTTTAGATTTTGCAGCTGCGAGTTTGTTGAAACCTCTCGGGTTCAGATGAAGTGCGCGCCGAGCTTTCTGTTGAGTCAGCTGTTTTCGTCAGCTGTTACAGTTTGAGTCAGCTGAGGGGGAAAAGTGGCTGTGGCAGGTAATTGGCTGGTGTTGCTGAGCTCAGTAGCTCCTTGGTTTAGTGTTGTTTACTGAGGCAAGCCAGCTCCGGAGAGTGGAGCAGCTCTCCTCCTGACACGGTCACAGACCTGCTCCACTGACTTCAAAACAGGAAGTCTCAGGCCCTGCTCATACCTGGCATTTAGTGAGTCCTAAAACATGGAAATTAGTTGCATCTCAGCACCTTCAGTCCCCTCGTCCTGAAGTCTCTGTGTTTTTGTTAGACGGCTGAAATAAGGTCGAGCTCAAAACATAAAATCAGCCAGTAAATACTCCGGTCCTGATTTCTAGAAGCTTTTACGTCTCGGTTGCTCACGAGTGTCTAAATGAGACTCAGAGGTTGAACATGAAAACCTGATCTGCTCACCCGTCCGTCTTTACGGCCTCGTTGTGTTTATACACCCTGTTACTAACAGTGTCAGAGGTCACAGCTGAATCAAACTACAAGTTGAAGTCTAGTGGTGGTGACGCTGAAGTCATGTGACCGTGGTGGAGTTGGTTTATAGTCAAAACATCAGCTTTTTTTTTTTTTTTTTTTTTACTTCTGCTGATTTAATTTAGACTTTAAACCTTATAAAGTGGCGCTGACCTAAACTCCAAAAGTCAATTTAAAAAATCCCATTGACTTTTTGCTGAGGGAACCAGGGTGAGGCAGAAACAGCTCATCCCTGCAGCATTAACTGTCTGTTCACACCCGGCATCAGCGTGTGTCTCCACACTTGTGATGGGATCTTACGTCTATATGCAAAATAACCCCTCCCTCTCTTTCCCCGGTCAGCTGGAAAACAACAGAAGAAAATCAAGTGAAATAGTGAAAAAGCATTTATGTATAGACAGTATTTTGTTATGATGATATTGTTGACTAGAAATTCAATATATTTGTTTTTCATGATGACTCCTAACTGCACAGATCTGAAAGAGAGTAAATCTATATTTATGGATTTGAGCTTCAGGATTTCCATCAGCTCCGGATCGTGTTACAAACATAAAACAGCTGCTCTGTTGTTTATTTACGCGGCTCTGCCGAGGTGAAACTACAGCGGTCTGTTGCTTTTAAATGTTGCTGTGGCAAGGAATTGTGAGACGGCATTTTCTCCTCTCCTTTTGTAAAAGGAAGGTCCAGTGTTTCCCATGCTGAAGGTGATAAGAGGGGAAGCGCTGAAGCTTATCGTGGCTGCCGCTCACATACTTCACATAAAGTCTGTACCTCGTTCCAGGCAAAACCAAATCGCCCAGGACGTTTGATGTAGTAGTAGCTCCTCATGCACCAGCTCTGAATGTGGTCCAAGCGGCTGGATCTCTCCTCACACCTGTGCTTTTCCCCTCTTTTGTCAGATCGAGGAAATGAAGCAGTTGAGATGTAAAAACAGGTTACTGCAGATCGACATCGACTGCCTCACCAAAGAAATCGATCTCCTCCAAACAGGTGAGTCTTTCTTTCTTTCTCTCTCTGCTGCATAACGTGGGAATGTGGTTTTTAGTCAATTAGATTTTCAACAAATGGACTGACACATCCTCGGATAGTCAACAATGGGTGCATCAGTGAGGCATTAAAGTCGGGTTTTACATTGTGGAAAGAGAGAGAAGAAGGTGTTACTGACAAAAATCAAGTGAACGACAGAAAATAAATGTATAAAATAAATAAAATAAAGGGGAAATCCTTCCTTCATTTGACTGAAGACTTGTTAGTTACAGACCGAGTAGCGGATCTTTTCAAGACTTAAACAGGACATAGTCTCCCAGCTGTTGAGCGTGGGCGGGGCAGCGTCCCTCCGTCTAAGTAATACTGCACAGCTGGCTAAAAGAGAGGTAAGAGACAGCAGGCGGCGTTTGTTTGGATCCAGGCGCGCTTCATTTTCTCGGGCGGGCGGTCATGTTAGGGTGCGGAAAACATCCTTAACTCGGGAATGTTAAACTGGCATTCAGCTCATGTACACGACCGTGTTGTTTGATAATAAAGTCATTAAGTGCGGGGAGGTCAGATGTGAACCGGGGGCCTGCAGCCGGAGCACGCGGGTCAGGCCTGCTCACATCCTCTTGGCACACGCAGTGACGGCGCTGCCATTGTGCTGTTTAACCAGCACCGCTTCCTGAATTACATCCTGTTGCCGGTTGGTAACAAGGGATTTATTGGCCCCCTGGCAACACTCCACCGCCGCCGGAGATGGCGCCGCCGGCCAAACGGTTTTACACAGGTGAAGGAAGGACGGAATCAAATTAATAGTTCCTCTCAGAACTGGTGATACCCGGGAGTTAAACCCAGACGTGATGTTAACATGAGGGTAAAAACATTTTGGTAGTAGAATCATTTCATACGTGTATGAGGGTCTGTTAAATCTTAAAAACACATTCAACCTCATACATTAAGTCCGAATGGGAGAAGGAAGTTTATTGAAGTACCAATGGAAGTGTGCCAGCTCACACAGATAAAGGGGGGGGGTTGGAAGCACCTGATCAGGTATTTTGTCCCACTATGATGATAATCTTCCTGTTTGCTGGAGAAACTGGAAATCAAAACACAAACCACGACCATATTTTCTGGGACTGAGACGATCGGAGAAACATTTTTACATGTGAAATCCCTCTAGAGATTTAGAGGATTTTATTTTCACAAATCAATGATTTTGTTGTAGAGAAAAGATCGATCCAGACCTGTTCATGGCTCTTTTCTATATACGTAAACTTTATTAAGAATTATTCTGATGATGAATGACAATAAAATATAGACATAAGCTGTGACCAGTTCTGACGCCAAGTCACAATCACCTCGTTTCAGCTCATTCATCAACAGTGTTTATTTGTAAATGTGTGTATTTGTTGTTGTTTTCAGTCTGTAAACACACGACTCTCTCCAGGTGTTGATTTGATATCAGCTCACAACCTTCCCTCTGTTCACAGGACCACACTTTAATCCCAGTGCAATCCATAATTTTTACGACAACATTGGATTCCTTGGTCCTGTCCCACCCAAACCCAAAGGTACTTTATCTATTGGTAAGTTTCTAAAAATAAAAAAAAGGTCGTCACGCTTTGTTGTAAACATCCCTTTATTTATTTGATTTGTTGTTTGTTCTATTGATCATATAATGACTGTTGCCATGTTTACGTCCCCGGCACTATAAGGAGGGAGGGGTCTGTCTTTATTTACCCTTAGTATCACACACACTGTAGTTTTATTGATTGTTTGCTTGTTTGCCCACCAGGTCTAAGTTGCCCCCCCTCCCCCCCATGGTGTAGACTGATGTTCAACAGCATAGACATAAATACATAGACCTCAGCCCGTTGATGCCGTACGTTAACGGCGCCGCCATATTGGATCGGGCGACACTGTCCCGTAAACAAATAGGAATTAACGGCCTTTCTCGGCCACAGTTGAAGGAGCGTTTTCAAACCTGACAGCGAAGTCGAGCTGCTGTGACACAATCAGTCAAGAGCAACTTTTACAGACATTAGTAGAACACATATATATATATATATATATTTAGCTTATTTCCTATGTTGTTAATGCCTCATATTTACCCTGTGACCTGCAGTTAATGTCGGGACAGCGTGTTAGAAGTACGACGTGTTGCTTTAACAGCACTGCTTTTCTGTATGATGACACTTTCCATTCTTGGACTCCATGTTCATGCGCTTTGGACTTTTCAGGAACATTTTTGAGCAGACGTGCGGCTGTGCGATCCAACTTCTTCTCAATGCTTTAACCTAAAAAAGGCCTCCAGGTTGTGTGTTTACGTTAGATCGCTGCCAAGTGGGCAATAATCAGATTACTGCGGCACATGTGAGCACGCTGAGTGTACGCACTGTTCACTCCACCACAGACACGTGTAAACAGTTTTGATGTCTGTGTTTTCATCACTTCATGGATAAACATGCACCTCTGCTCTGGTGTGGTGTGCTGCTCTGACCCTCCTGTTCTTCTCCCCCCCCCCCCCCCCTCGTCACAGACCCGGGCAGTAAGATTGTGAAGCCCATTGCAGACCAGGAGGAGGACGAGGGGACGCAGTGGAGCTGCACAGCCTGCACCTTCCTCAACCATCCCGCCCTCAACCGCTGTGAACAGTGCGAGTTCCCGCGGCACTTCTGAGCCAACCAGGCTGTGACGCGCCGCTCCCTCCTCTGCCCGCCTGTCGTCTACCAGAGTAGAGTTTCTTCTAGTTTCTTCTTCCCTACGTGTATGAAAACTGGGACGGGGCGTAGTCGTTGTGCATCGTGCGGCCGGTTTTCCTTGTTTTTTTTTTTTGTTTTTGTTTTTTTGTTTTTCCTTCGGGGGGTGGGGGGCGGGGTTCTTGTCCTTTCTTCTTCCTCTCTAAGGTTTGTAGAATGCTGTCCACTGAAGGCTCGACTGGATAGTGTTTACAACTCGTGTTTCTTCCTAAAGGCTGACAGAGTCAGATGATACCTCACCTTAGAGACTCAGATTGCGTGGGGTCACTTCCCCCTTTTTCTGCTCGACGGGTGACACTTTACCCCTGGGGATACCTCGCTGCTCCCACTTACAGTATTACGAGTGTGGCCCTGCAGTGTGACGGCACACATACACACACACCTACACACACACACACACACACCTACCTACACACACTTTACACACACTTTACACACACAACACAGGTGCCAATGGGGCTTTTGCTGAATTGATAAATGAGTTTTTCTTCCTGTGCGGTGGCGTGAGCGAGGGATCGGGAACTGTGCTCAGCCGCTGCTCTCCATCTGAAGGGAAAACTAACAGACTACTCATGGACTTTAAAGTTTGTTTGCTGTTTCTAGAGGATGTTAAAGGGGGGCTCGAACGTGCCTCTTGTCCTCCCCCTTCAGTTTCCCTTTTCTTTCTCTTCAATCATGAGTTAATGAAAAAAGAAACTAAGTTGCATGCTTTGTGTACAGTACACGGAGGCAGAAACTCCCCTTGAGCTTTTTACTGTACATAATTTTAGAATGTGCCTTAAAAGCCTTCTTCCTCACACTATGAATCACTTGTATTTCCTGTAAGTATAGCTTTATAGACTTTATTAACTTTTTTTTTTGTCCTTGTTTTGTTTCCCTCTTTCAAACAAATAAGCACCATGCTCCCTTTTTAAGCTTTTTACTTGATATCTGTGAGAGTTGAAGCCTTGCAGAAGGAGAGGAGCAGAGCAGTCATCATGAAGCTACGTCTGCCAGGTCCGTTCATCGCTTGTGTCATTGCTGAGTTTCCTGTGTACGATCTGCAGATGCAGCAAAGTGGAAGGCGATGGAGGAGTCTTTTTGTTTTTGTTTTTGTTTTGTTTTTTTTTTTTGTTGTTTTTTTTTTTTTGTTGTTGGTTTTTTTTCTTCGGACGCCAAATATTTTCGGGACTGTCGGGGGAGGGAAGGGGTCAAAAAGCAAAATTACAAACTGCCATCTTATCTGACAACTGGAATGTAGGTTTAATGTTTGGGGACAAGTCCACCTCGATGCAAAGAGACACTCAGTTTCCAGTACAATCAGGATCTTACTGCGGACTGGATGAAGAGTTTCTGTGAGGTCCGAAGATCAAAGTGAATATGTTTCTGTTTAAATGCTCCTCTGATGCAGAAATACACACACGTTCCCCGTCGTGCCTTAAATGCAACAGGTCAGAATTGTTACAATATCTCGGAAGCAGACAAGGCAAAAACAAACAAAAACAAAACCTCAAAAACACACCACCAAAAAAAACACGTCCACGACTGTAAACTCGTACTTTTATTTGGCTCAGTTCATCCTCCTAAGCTTTCATTGACGAGGGTGTTTCTAAAGTTTACTTATTGTCATTAACTTACCTTAACTGTGGAGTAGTTACTTTGTTTTGTTTTTCCACATTTGTGAAATGTTGCCTTGCGTTAGTGCCTTTTAGAACTATTGAATTTGTATTGATAATCTATTTTGTCACGTCCAAGTGCCATTTTTAAAAGCGAAACCTTCTTATTGTATAAACCCATTTTAAAAAGTAGAAGATGAATTATTGTCTCTTAAGCACTTACACCATCCTTCTTCCTTTTTCCAACCCAGAGATACCAGTTTTCAGCTTTATCTGCACCTTGGTGTGAAGAGGCAGTTTATTCATGTTTTATTAAATGAAAAAAAAAGAATTTGGATATCTAAAGTTTTTAAAGTTTTTTTTTTTTTTTTTTTTGTTCTTTTTTTTATTTTATTTTGTTTTTGTTTTTTTGTTTTTTGATTTTTGTTTTTTTTTTTAATTTTTTTTTTTTTTTTTTTTTTTTTTTTTAATTTAACATCTAAAACAGATCATGTTGAAAGTAGCTGGGTAAACTGTCTTTGTAACAGATAAGTTATTTGTAAAAATAATAAAAAAAAGAATCTATTCTGAATGTTCTCGGTGTCTTTGTGATGCTTCCCCTCAGATTCTCCACTAGGTGGCAGCAGACAGCAACACAGATCTCAGTAGAGGCAGCGCGTCGTCACGTGCTGTAAATCTTTATGCAGCTGGTTCAGGACTACAGACAGGTGGATGATCATTTCTTTAAGGATTAATGAAGTATTTAACTGCTCATGTGAAGTTGAAGAATATAAACCCGAGATGATGTCATCAGATCTTTACCACTGAGGTGTGTAACTAATATTCTCTAAAAACCACCTCTGCATTTTCTTTCAAAAAATTCACAGATTGCTTCAGCTCTGTACAAACTTCCCTCCCTCCCCGCCCAAATTTCTTTTACTTTCCTTTTTTATTTTCTTATAAAATTTCCCCCTTATTTACTCTCTAGGTTTATTATATAATTTTCCTTTTCTCACTTTTTATATGTACTTACAGTAGTTGGTACCAGAGGTGGACAGTAATTATTATATTTTTTCCTCCATTACACTTAAAGACAAATACTGTACTTTTGACTCCACTACATTTCTATGAAATACTTTTACTTTGAAGCAGAGCTTCTTAGTGGAATGAATTTTATTTTATTTTGAAAATATGATAGCCCACACACTGTGTTCATCACAGGAGAAAAACTAATCCTAGCCGACTCCTCTACTGTCAGCCATGTTGGAACCTGTCGGTGTCCTAACAAGAGAGACAGATAAAGATGAGGCAGAAGATTCTTCACTAGATCTGATCTGAAGTCAGTGTTTGAAGGTTTAGAAATAAAGGTTTATTTAGTTTGAAATGTTTGCCAGGGTTTGGGTTAGGCACTTGTTCAACGCTTAATTGTGACTTCTGGAGTTAAAAGCACTGAACAACAGGTGCGTCCCAGCGGCTTCATCACTTTTTTCTTTTGCCTTAATTCTGAGAGTGATGTTTTCTGTGTTTGTTTGTGTTTTATCTGTTCACATGTGTTTTCTGAAGCTCTCAGGGTCACCCTTATTTCCCTCCATGAAGTCGACTTTGTGCGTTAATCACAGACAAACTCCCAGAGTGACGTCAGTGCTTTTATTTCACAGGCACAGAAATAAAAAAAAAAATAACGAAACACTGCATCAAAAATAGTCAATGACTTTCTTTACAGAAGTAAAGAGGATATCATTCCTCATTTTGAGGCAACATGAGACAAACAACACATGCTGCTTTAAGACATTCATCAGTGCTACAATAAGTAGCATGTACGGAGGTAGTGCATTGCACTTTTACACTGGGATAAAGAGAGAGCATTCAGTCTGCTACATTTTCATGACTCCATCCAATCGAGTCGCCTTTTAATGCTTGGAGTAAAGATGGGTTTGGGACGGAGTTTGAGTTAGTAGAATTCATAAGAATATAAATCCAGTCACTTTAAGAACAGGAGACGTTTTGTGATCTGCTGTGAGCTTGGCATCAGAAGGACATGTGGCTGGTCCTGTGGTCCTGGATGAGAGACATCAGCTGGGACATGTCTGACACGTCTGGGTAAACGTTCATCACCTGCTCCACCACGCTCTGGGGGAACAGGGTGCTCAGCTGGCTCCTCAGGGCCTTCCTCTGCTCGCTGGGGGGGCTCTCGGCCCGGCCGTTCAGGCTGGTGTCCGGGTGGCCGCCCTGCACCCACGGGTCCCTGGGTAAGCTGTAGGTCTGTCTGTTGGAGACCTGTCTGAAGTACTGCTTCTTGGAACCGTGGCTGGGATACTCGCCGTTGTGTGGAGGCAGAGCCGGGCAGGAGGCCCACGCTGGGTGGTGGTGGGGGGGCGATATCCTGGTCTGCTGGTGGCCACACCTGCACTGGCAGTTTTGATGGGAGTAGTAACCTCCTCTGCTCAGACAGGGACGACTCTGCGTGCCGCCGCTGAACGACCCTGAGAGGGAGTAGTCGTCGTGGCTCAGGCTGTAGCTGGCCACCCCGCTGCTGTAACTGTGGGGAGGGGGCTCCAAGCTGTAGGGCGAGTCTTGGATGTAGAGCCTGGACATGGAGCTCTCCATGGAGCTGAAGGCCTCGTCCACGTCCGGGCTGGGACAGTGGTGCAGGTTGGTGTTGGGCTGGCTCCTCGGGCTGCAGGAGTCTCTCTGGTAGAGGAACTGCTCGCTGGGTGATGCCCTGTGTGACTGGTCCTCGATGCTCAGAGGGGGAGGGGTGGACGAGGTGTACCTGAGCTCCGGCTGGTACAGAGGGTGCGGTGTGTCCTGCAGGCTGGGCGTGGGCGAGAAGTTCTTGGCTCTGTCTCTGAGCGCCCTCAGCTCGTCTGCCACAGACAGCTGGGATTGGTTGGCCCGTTCTGGGTGGTAGAACTTGCACTTCACTCCATAGGTGCACTTCTTTCCTGAAATATATAAATAAGAGGTTATTTACAGGCCTTTGAAACACCCATCCATACATCCATTATCTTCCTCCTGGGGGATCCTGAGGAGTTCCCAGGCCAGATGGGATATCTAATCCCTCCAGTGAGTTCTGGGTCCACCCCGGCGTCTCCTCCCAGTCAGACATGACCGGAAAAACCCCCAAAGGGAGGCGCCCAGGACGCATCATCCATCAGATGCCTGAAACACCTCAGCCGGCTGCTTTTGACGTGAGGGAGCGGCCAAACATGTGCGCCACATTTGTGTAACCTGCACCCTCTCACGCCTGCACTGCTGTCAACACACTCAGCTTTACAAACACATCAGCTGTGACCGCTGGGTACACAAGGAAACTGCAGCAGGGATTATTTTTTTTATTTTTAGTGATCCTGCTCCCTGGTTCCCACGGTGTCTGTGTTTCTCAGCCCCACTCACAGGCTTCAGTGAGGTGACATTCATAAAAAAAAAAAAAACATCTAAAACAGATCATGTTGTGTTGAAATCACAGTTTCAGTTCAGGCAGATTTCACTTGACACAGAAGTGAGGCGAGGACAGAGATTTCCTCACTGCTTCTGCTTCACATGTCTTTTTAAACTCTTGAAACTCCACCCTGGTGAGATGTTCGGGGACTTTATACTTCCTCTATGTGTTGAGAATGTTTCAGTCTTGTGAAATGTTTTATTTCTAAAAACCAGTTGGATAATCTTAGAAAATACACTGCGGTCAATTTGTTTCCTGCGCTTCTCAGAGCGGTTAGCCACGCTAAGTTTGGAGCGGAGAGAAGCACTGACGACATAAACATGAAGAAAACTGTGTGTGTTAACGTTCAGACAGCCAGGGTTTCATACGTCACAAACCTAAGGAACCAATCCTGTCAATGTGTGCAGGGGGCTGGTGCTAACTACACCTTAAACCTTGTCAGTACAGAGAGAGAGAGATGTAGCATTAGCACTGCTAACACTGTGTCAGCCACTGCCTGTTACAAGCTAACAAACAACATGCTAACTACACTAACAGCTCTGAAAAGATGCTAACTATGCTAATTTTTCTGGAAGACGCTAACTGTGCTAAATATTCTGATCCGTCTGCTAGGTTCTGGTTCCTCCTCTGAGTCTGGGTCTGACTGAGGCTCAAACATGTGGCTGAGTCTCTCTGATGTTTCCTCCTCTAACCATTATGATACTCTCTGCTCTTTCACCTGTACACCTGGAGCAATCAGGCGGTGGGTGGGGCACATGACCTGATCCAGGTTTCTCAATCAGGAAGTATGAGACGATCTTCAGACTCAGTTTTTATGTGGGAGTTTAAAACATGTCTGGAGGAAGTCTAATGATAAAAGCTTAAAGTGCAAAGAACCAACTAAGCATATGTGTGGTTTGCGTCATATTTGTTGAGGTGTACAAATGTTTCCATTCCCATAGTTGACACATCCCTAATCAACTATTTGAAGACAGTCACTTATCATCCTGCTGAGTCATCAGTGTTGTTTGCTCATTGAAACCAGTTCTACACCTGCCGGCCTGCACCACCCTGTCTGTACGTAGCTATGGACACAATAACTCAGAAACACCTTGAGGGATTTTCTTCAAATTTGGCATAAATATTCACTAGGGCTCATGGATGAGCCGATTAGATTTTGGTAGACAAAGGTCAAAGTTCAAGATGACGTTGATCTCACGTTGTTGTGAATGATATATCAGGAACGCCCAGAGGAGACACGTTTTAGGCTTTACCTCACAAATTCATTCACTAACTATCTCACTATTTAACTGAAATGTTTCTAAGGATAAAATGAAGTGATGACATTTTATAACTAAAAGGTCAAAGGTAAACTTCACTGTGACATCATAATGTTCTGTAACAAACACTTCTGGTCATTATTCAACACCGTAACTCAGGAGGGAGAGACTGTGACCATGGAAACAACCGCGAGGAGGTGATTCTAGTTTTATGTTCTGTGAAGCAGTTTGTAACATTTGTTTTTACTGGTTTTGTCACACCCTCTGTATTTCTGAAGATGGCTCTTATTATCCAGGTTCCTACTGTTCCCATAGGAGAGAACAAGGAAGTGTAACGTGAGCAGAGCTCGCTGTTGTTTTGTAGAAAGTGAAATGTGAACCAACCGTAGGGACAGTGCTGCAGCTTGTTGTCTGGGGTCCACGGCTTCTTCCTCAGAAAATCATCAATGGTGGGACCGTTTCTGCCCAGAGGATCGTCCGGAGGCATGAACCTGCACCAGCGCAGAGACACAGTTAGGATCCAGTGACATCAGTGCAATGCATGATGTTACCCCCCTCCACCCTCCCCTTTTTTTCATTTCACGTTGCCTGTGCACCCCGACCCTTAGACCGCCACCAGTCTTACTTGTCGTTGGCGAAGCTGTACATGAGCAGCCTGTCTTCGATGAACTTCTTCCACTGCGGATTCTCCGTCTGGAGGTCGCGGTAGTTGTCGTTGGACACGATGATGCCGTCCGAGTCGCAGGCCAGCTTGACGATGTAACGGTCATCGTAGCACACCACCCTCTTACCGTTCACGCAGCGGGACGGCGTGTACACCAGGATCTTCCTCCTCTCCAGCTGATGGAGAATGTGCTGATCTAGGAGACACACGAGAACACATCTGTTTATCGTTGTTTATTTCCAACCCCGGATGTTTCTGTACGACTAAACTGCAACAGCAAATATGTTGTTTAGGAGTGTGTGGAGAGTGTGTGATGAGGAGATTTATGTAGTTGACAAGTCACAAATACGTTGATGCTTGTGCTGCCCACAGCCTTATTAAACTGTTATGGTTCTGTTTAGACCAATAATTCAAACCCTGACATTAATGCTGAATTCATATGATGAATGAAAATGTCCTTGATGATAAACTGACATTTATGGAGGCAGGTGAGCTGCATGTTATCAGCTTTATCTTTATCTTAGAGTTTTACAGCATGATCATAAAAGAAGCGGAGCTGCACTCATACTGCTTTTAGGACAGAAGCTATTTTTATCCGACATGATCCAACATGAAGAACAAACTGGATTTCAGTTGGTTGAGACGTTTCCATGGGCTGTTTGATACTTGTTTTAAGTTGAAGACAACTGGCTGCTGTCGCTCCGAGCTGGCTACAGCTGCCAAACAGGATGAGGACGACAGCCGGGCAGAGGGATGGGAACTTTAACAAGCCAGGACAGTTACAAACACCACCTTATTTTATCATTTCCTTGTTGCCCGTTTTGCTGATGAGAAATCCTGGTTCAGATATTTCCAGTAAATGTAGGCGCTGTTTCAACACGTTGTATGACAGACACTCAGTGTTGTGGCTTTTACTTTTTCCTCGGTTTATTCAAATGAATCTGCTGTTTTTCTCAGTTTTAAAATGTTTCATTTCCCGCAGAACTTTTTCCCCAGGAAGTGCACCTGCTTTTAAAGGTGGTACAGATTCTGTGGGAGCTTCACACAGGAGGTTGAATCAATAGCGTTGACCTGAACTTCCTGATACAGAGCAGTGAAACTGAAATTTTCCTACATTAAAAACATGAAGAATTTAGCAGCCAGTAAGTGGAAAGGATATAAATATATAACAGGAAACTAATGTTGCTGTCTGTCGGCTGGATGTATGAAATAGTCTAGACGTGTTATGACTCGTTCACCTGTACACAGATGAAACAGATGAAAACCTGAAGCTGCTCCACAAGCTTTAATTATGAAGCTGGAATCCAACATGAATGAATGAGGTCATGGATTTTCATTGACTCATAAGTTTTTACCATAAAGCGTCTAGAAAAGGTTACAGCGCTTGTTTATTCTGATTGGCTGTGACTGAAATACAGTATGAGGGTTATTGTGTTTGTTGTTTGGCACAACTTCCTTCCTTGTCCATCAACCACCTGCAGCCATGTTAAAATACAATGTGACTCGACAGTTGGGTGAGGTCAGCCTGAAAGGAAGACATGTGCAAACCACACACCGCAACAACAAAAATAACTTCAGTGGTGCCGTTTCCCTCTGACTGACCTCACACTGTCAGAACGAGCAGGTGCAGCTCATTCAGGTGAGCTTACCTGTCATGGGTGCGTCTGGACGCGGCTGTTCCTTCCTCCACAGGGGAACGAACACCGTGATGTCGCGCAGTCCTTTGTCCCAGAACCAGTTCACTGCCAGCTGGAGGCCCTGGCACGAAAACACCTTCTTATCGCCATGGCTACAAAGACACAGAAGCCAGAGTCAACAAAAAAAAAAAGGAAAACAACTTCTTCTTTTGTGTTTCTGTGCACATTATATACACACACACACACACACACACACACACACACACACAAGCACATCTCTGTTTTTCGGGAAGTGGATGGTGTTGCAAGGCCTGTAGCTCAGAGTTGTGTAAAACACAATTGCAAAAGTTCAGAGATGAGTAACTTGGCACATAACTGAGACCGTTCACGTGCACTTTGTCTGGAGAGGTGACTCCGGTTAATCATACCACTGAAAAAAATAACATTTTACTGTAATTTACTGTGTTTTACAGAACAGTGTTGACATTTGCAAATTGCGAAAGTAAGTAAAGTCTCATGTATTTGCCTCCAAATTGTTCTCACACAGAATAAAAGTCATTGAGTTTGGCAGCAGGTTCAGGTAACAGACACACAAACACCACACAGGTTTAAGGGTCAGACCAAGCAGCCTTGGGTATTACTCTTTTGATGAAAGACATTAGACGTTCAAAAATTCAAGATGGCCGCCATTTCTGGCAAGGAAATGTCATTTTTTGTAATAAGTTCAACCACAATTTTCCCATATGAACGATGCAGGTGTCTAATCATACAGTTTAACAAGGTAGAAGGTGAATTTTACTAAACAAATTCATTTCAGCAAAAATATCAGCAAACTCATAAAAGTTTCCTAATAAAATAATAACTTTGATGATTCCTGCATTTAAACTTTTTTTTTTTTTTTACCAAAGATTTTGATTCATTTTGCAGAGTATATGTCTTAAAAATGGGAACACCATAAAACGGTTCTTTTATATTAAGATATCTGGACGTTTCTCTTTTGGTCATTCAGTGAGTTCAGAACAGCTGTGATCTGAAACCCAAACCTGCCATAACACTCACATGACAAGGATTAACTCAAGTGCTACAGAAGATGTAAACTGGATTGTTTTGCTTGCAGGAAGAAGAACACGTGTGTGTGTGTGTGTGTGTGTGTGTGTGTGTGTCTGCGTGTGTGTGTCTGCGTGTGCGCATGTGTGTGTGGGGGTTCCCCTTCTTTCAGTAAGCAGGAAGTGGTGAGACATTTTGCATACAACAGGTATGAGAGACAAGGCCTGGCATGAGATATAGTTTATGGATTCTGAGTAAAAGTGTCTATCTGCATAACTTCACTGGGGGGTGATAACGTTGACTTTGAATGGTATTTCCTGGATAATTTATACTTGCAGCTCCTCCAAAGTTGAATCCATGCAGTTATTGAGTTGCATGTTTAGCACTTTTGCAGCTGGCTCATATTTCGTTGGTTGAAAGTGTCCCTGTGTTAAACAAAACCCAAACTGGTTATGGTGCTGCTCTACCAGAAATACATCGAGCAGCACCATAATGTAAACAAACCATCCAGTGGAAGTAACTGTCCTGCAGTCATAAAGATATCAAAATTTAAAATACATTAGCAGTAAAATACTTAAAATGTTATATCTGCCTATGAATAAAAGTATTCATTGTGATTGTTCTGTGCATGATCCACTTCATATAGTTTAAAGCAGGCAGCTGTACTCACAACACTGATGTATTATTATATATATTATAAAGCTGATGTGATCAACATAACATTTTGCATTGCAGTGGGAAACTATCTGTTTATATTGTAACCATGACAACAAAGGCCGTCTGATGTCGAGGAAATACTAATTTCAACACAAATCACAATCTTTTCCTAAACCTAACCGTGACCCTTATCACACTAACCATGGCGACGAAGGTAGGTACGCTGTTTGTTGGTACAGTCTGACTGTTTATTACTGTAACCATGACAACCGAGGTCCAGTAGGCTACGCCTGCTATTTCGGGAGACACTCTTATGGGTCGTATCAGAGGGTTGACCTGCGTGGTTGTTCAGGTTGGAGGACTCGTGGTTTCTAGCTGACCACCTGATGAACATAAGTCCAACAGTGAATCCTGGGGGAATGTCTGTGGAGACACCTTTAACATTACACACAGCCATTTTACCTATTATTAGGCCTGATATAAAAATATATGGATCAGTTCAGCTTTAAGATATCACATCGTTTCATATCTTATGATCTTAAATGATTTGGATGCAAAGCCTCATTCTGCACAGTAACTAAAATGTAACTGATACATGTGTGTGGGATGTAACAATCATTGGATGACACCAAAGTCAATGTATTGGTCTCAATATGTTGAGTGCTATCTGAAAACAGTTTAGTGCTAAAGTGTGAGGAAATTACAGAAGTGAGATTGTCTGTGTAATCTTGGTTTGAGCCTGGAAACTACATATTTATATAAGAAATCCTGCGGTACACACTGTGGGTGGCAAGGTTAAAAATACATGGGGTTACTGAGCACGGAGGGTCTAGCAGTAGATGATACTGAGCTGCATTATGGGAAATATAGGATTCAAGTGTGGAAATCTGCTGCTTCAAGTCTGACCTTATTTTTGACCTCTTTAAAATCTGTCATGTGGAGGTGCCGCGCTGAAACCACTGGAGTGCTGCTTTAAGAGCCTGAAAACCTAATGAAAAGTTAGAAATCGGACGAGCATCAAGCCATAAGTTCACAGAGGTGTGACAGTAAATAGTTTTCAACCCTCTTCCTCTTTCAACAATTCACCAATTATGGTCTTACAGAAATATGCACGATGAAAACATCTCCTTTGTTTTCTCCTTTGATATCATGCCCTCCTCCTACCTACACACAAGGTATTTGTTTGAGCAGATTTTGACTAAGAACTTCCTCGTTACCCAATTCAGGGCAGGTAAAGCTGACAACAATGAGGTCACATGAAGCAGAGGTAAGTCACGCTGCATGAGCGTCAGCAGCTCAGCTCTGATGTCAGAATTGAAATGAACGTGCTGTTTTGTCCTTCAGGCAACGTGAAGCGGACATAAAAAGAAGAATAAAGCCGCACATCACGTTTTCACTTCCCACATCTTTAAAGAGGAAGTGATCACATCTGTGAACTGAAACAGGATTTGACACAAATGCAGACAATGAAAAAATAGTTATAGTGTTATTTCTCTCTGTAAGTATCAGCTTTTTTTTATTTCCATGATGTTAAATATTTTCAGACAGGTGGAAAGTAACTGAATATGTTTTCACAAGAGCTGTTGACAAAGACAATTTTAAGGTTAATGTACTTTACTCGATTAGCTCCATTTTATCCTTCTGCATATATTGTATTCAACATTACGTCTGAGAGCTACAGTTACTTTGCAGATTAAGATTTTAAAAAACAAAACATGATTAACTTGGTTATAATGTCATTGTAATATTCCTCTATAACGGACACTGATGTGCTGCTAATGCCTCCCTTTGACAAATGTCTCTATTTATTTATTTTAATTTTAATTTTTTTTTTAATTAGTGTTTTATTGGTGTATAAGATCTTATGTCAGGCACTGTATTGTGTGTTCTGTAAAAAACATTTTAAAAAAAAGTTTTAAAAAACATGATCAACTTTTAAATCATGATGCATCAGGATAGATTAAATCATCCAACAATAAATGAAGTAGTTACAATTAGTTAAAAGAGTTAAAATGCTGCTAACATATTAAAGCGTCAGTTATAATTATATAAATGCACCAACAAATACTTTTCCTTGTGACACTGACAGATGCAGACTGCACTCACCTCATGGCCACATTGCTTCCATCTATAACCACTGGTCTGAAGCCTGCAGTTGGCTCTCTGTCTGGTCCAGGTCTGGGCTGACTGGGACTGGGGCTGCAGCCTCTGGGCACCAGCTTGGGGCTGTTTGGGACACTTTTGTCCCACTTTTGAGTGTGGCAGGTCTTTATCAGCTCCTCCAGGATGTCATTGGTCTGGGCGTCGTGGCGGAGGCTGTCCAGCACCCTCAGGATGTCACTGTGCGAGTATCCTAGCTTGAGAAACCGCTCCACTTTGGCGTGCTGCTGCTGCTGGCGGTCCATTGTGGATGCTGACTGAGAGCGAGTGTGTTCCCTCTCCTCCGTCGTCTCAGGACTGTATGTGTGGGGAATCCTCTCCGCCTCCTTATTCCGGCTCATCGGTATCTCCACGGTGACAGCCTGTATGTTTTGGAATAGTTGACAGGTGTCAGAGAGGGGACGGAGGCAGAGTCAACCTCTGTCGCTGTAAACACCGGAAGCACAGCTGCGGTCTCACAGGGGTTTTCGGACAAATCGTTGTGGTTTGGCGCTCACTGATAGAATCTGCTCTGCTCACCACAACCTCATGACTGCCAACGCAAGCGCAAACAGCGGCTGACGTCACGCTGGTTAAGAAAGCCCCTGTCACACATACACACCAAAGGAGGAAGCTGAGGGTCTTCACTGATCTCTGGTCTAATTTTACCACCAGTGTCACCGACCAAAACAAACATGAATGAATGGAACTGATGTGAATGTGAGAGTGGGTATTAATGTTATGAGCCTCTCCCCATTCCACACATGTTTTATTGCACTTTCTGGAAACCCCCTGAACTTCATGGGCCAAAAAAGAGATCACACTGATGCACTTGAGGGTGAAAACTGTTGAATGACTCAAACCAACTTTTTCCACTTTTCCCTCCCACAAGTAAAACTATTCTTAAAGCGCAGCAGCTGTGTAGTTCAGGGAAATCTTTCAAATGTGGATACAAGTACTAAACTCGGCACAAATCCTGCTTGGTTATTACTCTAAGGTGACCAGATATCTGAAATGAAAACTGGAGACATTTCCAGTTCGGCAGCCAATATATCATTAAAATATCCGATGTTTTTACCTAAGAAATAAAAAAGGGGGACATTCATGTATTTGGACAATGGTAAGTGATGACTGATAAAATGACAACTCCATACCTTTGAAGCAGTTGGGAAGTTTGTTTGGAGTATGTTTGTTTTTGTTAGTGTACTGCCCAGTTATGAACTCCTAACCAATGAGTGAGCCAGCTAACCCTTTCTCTGCCTAGAGACCAACAAAAAAAGAAAAATCTGATTGGATAACCTATTTGGATGATTTTAGCTTCACTTTCTGAAGCTGCTATAGATAGCAGCCAGCCCCCTCTGTCAGCCAAAACAAGCTAAACGCTAGACATCTGTTTTTAATTACAAAAATTAAAAACAGGGACATTTCCTGGGGACAGCTGCTCACTCTATATTACTCTTTTGATAAAACATGTCAGCCACTTGAAAATTCGAAAAAATCGTCCTGTGGGTAAAATTCTGTGGTAAAATATGTTTCCTATGCCAGAAATTTTTAAATCTAAATCCCATCAGTGGCTGATGGGATTTTTCAAATGAATGGCCCCAATTTTGGTGCTTATATCCACATTTGAAAGATTATTGCAGTTATCTGCTGCACTATTTGTGCAAAACTTTAACACAAGTGTGTGAAACTACTCTGACAAACTCTACATACAAAACATTTCTATCATTCTATGAAGGAGCATTTTTCTTTTACAGCCTTTTTGCTCCTTGATAGACGGACTGATTACCTTCTCCTGCATTTGATACAACCGCTTGACATTTGAAGAATGAGGAAAAGAAACAAAGATGTGACGTTAATCATGTGAGAGTTTCTTTTTTTATCCTAACAAACCCGTCAGAAAACATACACAACAGTTAAAATTGTTTTTGACTGAGACAGCCTCCCTGTGCACAGGGGCTTGGCTCTGCACAGACTTGCTACAACCTGCACCAAACCACATCCTCTGCTGCTGAGTTGACATTCAGTTCATTTACGTATTTATTCCTCAGACTCGTCTTTTTTCAGAAAACCAAGACTATGATTATCTCTGCTTGTTTGTCTCACATGTCCAAACCTCCTCCAACAGCGTTTGCTCTTTGCAGCGCTGAACACACAGTCAACACACAGTCTCGACCCTGACACCTACTCGTCTCTCACAGTCTGAAACATGACAAGTCTTAACAAGACAAGAATCTATACGGGCTGCGGCTGAGGATTCACATTTAAACACAAATAGAGCTACACTGTCACATGACTGAAATTATCTTACTTTGTACTTACACATTCAGCGAGCTGTGAACCCGAGCATGAGTCCCTCTCTCTCTCTCTCTCAGTCAGTCTCTGACAAGCAGTGTGAAGCAGCTCTTATTACTCACAGGAGGAAGTGAGCACTCGCTGCTTAGAAACAGAACTCTCTCTGACAGCAAGGAAGAGAATACTCTGTATATTTATGATCGCTACTTCCTTGTCAGTAGTCAGAGCTGATCTAGGATCTGTGGGACTATTTCCCTTTTCTGAGCTCTCCGCGGTTTGTTGAAGTAAATGCTGACTGAATGTCTCTGACAAAACAGTGAAAAGCACCAGGAAGTCTGCCAAGCTCTACACAGGCTCCAGACTGTTGAAATTTTATTAGTCATTGAGTCATTTCAAATCTGTGTGTCTGTCATATCATTTAATTTGCGTGAAAGTTTAATATTTGGGGAAATATGTTTATTTACTTTCCATTAGAGAGTTAGATGATAAGATTGATAAGATTCTCATATCTGTCTGTTAAATATGAAGCTGCAGCAGCTGGAAACAGCTGGCCTGGCTCTGTCTGACGGTAACAAACCTAAAACCAAAGAAGACTCCTGCACATTACCTGCCTTTAAACTGCCACTTTTCCTTCTTACACCATAAAAACTGGTAGGCTGGATTTTGTCACTGCTAGTCAGCACCTAGCTAGCCTCTATACTAGCTAAGCTAACAGGCTGCTGGTGTAGCCTTATGTTTTTTTATAAGAGATATGAGAGTGGTACGACCTTTTCATCTGTCTGTCAGAAAGCAAAAAGTGCATTTCCCAAAATGTCAAACTATTCCTTTACATCTGCCATAATGGACGATTTGCTACTTTCCACCACGATAAAAATATGCCTGGTGTTTTTTGTCACCTTGTGTTTGTGTGTCATCAACAGTTGACTCCTACTGTAACAGGAACTACCACAGAGAGCATCTCTGTCTGTCTGTGATGTTATCATTTCGATTGTGTCACAACTTCCAAGTCACTGAACTCTATAGGTGTGGTTGAGATCAAAAAGGGGCGTGGCCTGACAGCGAATGCTGAGTACTCATGTAGTAATGACGACTGAGTGCTCATCGGTCGGAGCATCAACGTGTCGACCAGCCGCTGTGATGGTCTCTAGTTTGATTAGTGTGTTATACAGAGGTCGAGGTATAACGATGGTCTGTTTGTTTCACAGGTCACCATGACAACGTAACAGAAAACTTTAATTTTAGGCATAAACCCTATGAAATATTTACAGATGAACATCTATCTAAACTGTTGGAAATCTCCAGCTTCAGAAAACCAACATAAAACAAAACATTAAACGTATGTCACAGTTCATTTCAAATCAATAAACTTTATTTGTTCACAGGGGGCAATTTAAAGGGCACATAGAGTAGACACTAAAAAAAATACCCAACAAAGAACACACAACCAGTGCAAGACAAACTGTACACATTATGAAAAAAATCAATGACAATAAAATGAAGAAACAACACCAGTGCAAAGAAAAAGAACAAGCAACAATGGTGCAAAACAAAGCCTGTAATATTATAATATCATTTAATTACTGTGAGTTTCAGAAGAGAGTTCAAAGTTGCTGTTTTACAAACCATTACACCCCCCCCCCAAAAAAACATACATTTTGGTACGAAACAAGTCATTTATTGCTATAAATAATGGCGACAACATAAAACAGAACATAACCTAGCATCATAATATGAAATATCTGTTGATATTGATATTGTTCAGAAAGCCACAGGGTGAGATCTAATTCAAAGTGTGAAACATGATCTTGTTGACACTCAGTCCTGTGTCCTTGGAATGAATGAAGACGATTTTCACTGTCAAACCACATGCATGAGCTCAGGACTGGCACACACATGGTTAAATAGCTCAGCAGGGTGTTTGTTTTTCAGGAAAACTCAGATTTTCCAGGAAAGGCTCATGAGTACAGATTCCTTTTACAATCATCAGGCAAACACACTCGTAATATTAATTGTGTTGACATTATTATTATGTTATTGTGATTTGACAGAGAGTAAGAGTAATTTGACACCACAGCCTGATATAAGGGAACACAGTTTACCTGAAGCGCTTCTCATTCTGAGAAACGCTTTGATCAAAGTGCACAGACTGTGGTGGGAGTGTTTGTGCTCCCACTGAGCCTCTGCAGATCTCCATGCACACACACTGACTGACTGACTTTTTCTCCTGCCCAACAGCTTTTCTTCAATATCTCAACATCTGTATGTTTATAAAGACAAAAACAGGAGAGAAATGGCAGCTTGATGGTGAAATGATGACAACATGAGCACAGGGAAGAACATGAATAAGACCAGGAACAGGAAGTGTTAAGATATTAGTCACAATGAAAAAGCATTTTTTATTGTTTGTCCTTTATCTAACCAGGATGTTGGACATGTAAAAGAAACTAAACAAAAAAAAGCGGCAATGGACGTGTGTGTGTGTGTGTGTGTGTGTGTGTGTGTGTGTGTGACCTGATGTGTGTGTGTGTGTGTGTGTGTGTGTGTGTGTGGGAGAGAGGCAGTTTGATGTTATGGGAGGGACAGGACAAGAAGTGGTGAAGAAATTGCTTTTTAAAATTCTATGTAGACGTACAACATGAATTAACAACTCTCAGCTGCACATCTATATTTGAAAGTTAAAACAATAGTTTCCTAAAAGAAAAAGCTGCTAAATTGCAAACCAAACAATAATGAACAATAATGAACATTAATCAAGTGTGTTTTCCCAACATGAATCTGCAATTTTCCACCAGTAAAGACAGTAAAGAGAGGATTTTTTTTTTTCCGAAGTGACATTTTGGTTCCTTAAAACCATATCAGCTTTTTCCTGTGTGTACATTGTGTGAAATGAGGAAGAGCTGTGGTGATAACAGTGATGGATGATGATTTGTTGCTGTAAACAAGCAACCGGACATCTATATCATTTATATCTATCATAAGTGCAGTTGAAAAAGATTACATCAATGAATGTGATTTTTATCATCGATTATTTATATATCACCATACTTTTTATGTGTTCATATATGCAGTGATTGAACTTACTGTATGTCAACGTAATCCTAAATTTTCATGTGTGAGGGCATTGTACACTTTATTAGGAACACTTTGCTGATACTGGGTACAGCCTCTCAGACAGCCTCAGTTCTTCATGTCATGAATTAATGTCTTACTATACTATGACATTTTTGAGTCTTACTATACTATGACATTTTTTGACGTTTTTATGTCTTACTATACTATGACATTTTTTGACGTTTTTATGTTTTACTATACTATGACATCAAAAAATGTCATAATATAGTAAGACATAAAAACGTCAAAAAATTCAAAGTATAGTAAGACATAAAAACATCAAAAAATGTCATAATATAGTAAGACATAAAAACTTCAAAAAAAAATATCATAGTATAGTAAGACATAAAAACTTAAAAAAAATGTCATAGTATAGTAAGACATAAAAACGTCAAAAAATGTCATAGTATAGTAAGACATAAAAACTTCAAAAAAAATATCATAGTATAGTAAGACATAAAAACTTCAAAAAAAAATATCATAGTATAGTAAGACATAAAAACTTTTAAAAAAAATATCATAGAATAGTAAGACATAAAAACTTAAAAAAAATGTCATAGTATAGTAAGACATAAAAACGTCAAAAAATGTCATAGTATAGTAAGACATAAAAACGTCAAAAAATGGCCATAGTATAGTAAGGACATAAAAACTTCAAAAAAGTTTGGACATTTTTATGGCTCTTACTATACTATTGACATTTTTTGACGTTTTGTATGTCTTACTAGACTATGACATATTTTTACAATTTTATCTTACTGTACTATGACATTTTTTAATTCTTACTATACTATGACATTTTTTGACATTTTCATGTCTTACTATACTATGACATTTTGTACGTTTTTAT